GTACCTCGCAACATTTGCAGAATATGCATAAGACACGGACTTCCTGAAGGGAACATGTGGCCAATTATCTCCTTCCACTGCATTATATACTGGCAAAAAACAATCTTGTTTCATAAACCAAAATGTATGCACTGTAGCTTTATACTTAATATCATGCGTTGGTTCCTAAGCAGTTCTTTTCCCTTCTGATTTTTTGGACAGTCAGGGGAAACTGTTTGATTCAAATAGTTTGATAAATCAGTGCTCAATGGAGAGGATTTTCCTGTATTGAGAATTTATTTAACTAGAGGAATTGTAGCATGTTTCATTTCTTAGCAGGACTAAATAAAATAAAAGAAGTCCAGTTCACCATTGATAAGGGATATAGCCCATAAGTTCTAGTCCTTTCCTTCTGTGAAGAAAGGTAGAGCTTTGTATAGATTTTATTAAATAAGCTATGGGATAAAACACTTTTCGTTTAATTTTTTTTGCCTTTATGAATGATTATTTTTCAAAAGAGAAAGCCCTTTAGTTGACTATAATGAAACTGTTGATCATGCAGTTTAAGAGAGGAGTAAAATTTTACTGCTCAGTTAATCTTAAATACTAAATTTTAGAAGCAGGCTCTAATTTTGGGTGCTTCCTTTGTTGTGTGCACATCTTGAGAAACTGTGAGCGTAATGTTTCAGAAATGCTGAGCACCTACAATTCCCATTGTTTTCTGTTGGAATTATAGGAACTCAGCACTTTTGAAAAACAGTGACAGGTTGTCTTAATTTGGTCCCCAAAATCTGTAGTCACCTTAGGAAATGTTGGCCAAAGAGTAGTTTAATAACCTTGTGTCATAAGTGGAGGGCTGGAAAGGATCTTCAGAGATCCTCAAGTCTAGTCTTCTGTGCAGAGGCAGCACCAAGCAAAGCAAGATAATCTCAGATTTGCATTTGTCCAGCCTGTTCTTAAAAACCTCCAGTGATGGGTATACCACAGCCTCCCTTGGAAGCCGATTCTGGAGCTTACCTACTCTTACCAAACTTAGTAAAGTCACATTGAATCCATGGTGGAATTTCATAATGCAGTCAGTGCATGAATTCCTATCAGCTGGCTCTACATCTTTGGAAAATAACAGGGAAAACCCAGGTACTGACTGCAACACATTTGATGCTGGAAGTGAACCAAGAAGGTGTGCCTGAAGGTTTTTAAGGGGTCCCGGTAGCACAGCAGATTGTGACCGTTTTCTTCCTCCTTCCCTATCAAATATGGTGGTGTATTTGGTGACAAGCTCAAGTTCCAGGTGTAATGATATCATGGCAGTCCTCAGCAAAGTGTTCATTCCACATACCAGCATGGTGCTAATTGACACTTGTGTAAAAGAGACTCAGCAGAGATGTTAAGAAATAAAGTGCCAACAAGAGTAAATTACTCTAATTCTTCAAGCCAACAAGATACATTAAAAGGGTGGTGAGGGGAAGCCTACAAAGTCCTTGCTTGTGCTGTCTGTGTGGATGAATGTGATTTTGTCTTTTAATGTAGATCTGAGAACCTATCCAGTGTTCTGGGTGTGTATCCCACGGGTAAAACACACAAAGCAGTACTAAACAGTATAAACCACTCCAGTGCCCAGCCTGTTCCTTCTCTAGTGGCCTGAGAATAAAAATGTATGTTTCAGTGAAGCTGAAGGTTAATAAGGCTCCAGTGAACCAAGAGGGGAGCGAGCAGTGGTGGCTAGAGTCCCAGCCTTTGTAAATCACTGCAGAAGCCCCACATGGCATGGTCCCAGCAGCACTGACAGCTGGCTGGTGGTGGCTGGCTCTTAGTCCTGTCCCTTCTGCACAAGGCCCCACCTCTTTCGGGGAGCCTAGAACTGAACCTCCCCCATATTGCCCAGGGCCTAGCAAAGTCCACCAGGCCTGACACACACTAGTGTATTCTAATCAAGCCCATTGCATTGGCATGGGGACAGTCACTGCTTTTGAGGATAGAGGGTATTTCAGTCTTTTCCCTTTGCCAGGTTTACACAGGAGCATTATACTGATGATAGAGCCTACCTCTGCGATAGATCTTTCGAGCACAAAGCACATGATCCCATTTTACAGATAGTAAAACAACATGTCTGTATGAAGCCAGGAAATCATCACAAATTACTCCTGCCCCTTCCATGCCATTTTTTCTCTTCCCTCATGGTTCTCTTTGCGAGTGTAGATGCAGCCACTTCCTGATAGTGGACATTGATCCATGATATCAGTTTGCCTCTCAAGGGACCTTACCCTTAAGAAGCAAATTTCTACTGTTTAAGAATATGGCTTTTAGTGTCGATTGTGTTATGTAAAAGTCCCCCTTCCACTATTAGCTCCCTATCAGGTGACTGAAGGAGTGATGTGCTGACTGTATGCAAAAGGAACTTTACCCCTTATTAAGAAGATGTATGCTGGAAGTCAAAGGGAAGGGAAAAGTTAGTCCTACAGGTATTTCACTTTGTTCCCTGGATTTTCTGCAGGCGACCTGCGTTCCCACATACTGCAGATACCGATTTCACAACCTCCCTTTTCATCAAACACACGGGCAAACCCATGGAACCCACATCTATTTTAAGGATGTCAATGTGATTCTAACAGGGACAATCAATCCTGAGAAACTGCGTGAGTATTTTAGAGGGCCACCTTTGGAGATTGAGGTTCATGACCGGGACAGAAAAATGGCAGAGGACATTAAAAAAGCCTCTTTGTTTGGTGATGAACAAGATGATGGGAAGTTGAGTAATGTGGGTCTTCTCTCTTGCAAACACACAGCCTACAATCCATTTACAGAAAAGGACAATTTGTGGCATCCCTATGGGGTTGCTAAAGTCAGTCTAACTGACCTACTGCTAGGTGAAAAGTACTTGAATATCACTGTGCCCATTCATAGCTGTTCAGTTCCAGATCCCACTGTCTACCAGAAGGATAATAAGACTGAAAAAAATACAGGAATATTGGGATCAATGGCTGGCTCTCAGACTTCTCCACTGCCTATGGGACATTATCTAGAATCCAACTCAGTCCTGAAATTAAGAGTTGAAATAGCAACGCCGCTAGATCTGCAAGCAGAAACTGCTGATACTGAAATTTCAGATTGCCCATATGGCTGCATTATTTATATTTTTGACTACAATAATGCATCTTGCTTACATGATTTGATGCAAGAGATTACAGAAATTAATGCTGAAGCACTCCAATTGGATTCTTATCCGCTACAAGTAATTCAGAAGGCTCTTGCTACTTTCAAACTGAAAACCACAACCAAGGAAATTTCTGAACTGGATATCATTACTGGCTTTCATATTCTGGATGGTACAATTCACCTTTTAGTCTTGGAAGGCTTAAAGGACAAAGCAATCAAGAGACTGTGGGAACAGCACTTTGATAAGTAAGAGAGTTTCTTGTTTTCAGTAGTTATTTCCCTCAAGATTTACAAGTTTAAACGAATAGTGCTGATTTCTTTTTTGTTTGTTTGATTTTTCATCCTGAGTGCTGTTACTAGAGTTATACAAAATATGAATTTGACCCAATGTCTGCATCAAAGTTTGAAGAGTGACCTTTACATCTTTATCAGCAATTTGATAATCTCTCGGGCTACGTCTACATTGCAAGCTTCTTGCGCAAGAACTTTTTGCAGAGATCTTCCACAAAAAGTTCTTGCACAAGAGCATGTCCACACTGCCATGTGCTTTTGCGCAAGAGATGCGCTTTTGTGCAAGAGAGTGTCCACACTGCCATGGATGCTCTTGTGCAAGAAAGCTCTGATTCCCATTCACAGAATGGCCCTCAGAGCACCTGTACTTTGTCCGTCCACACACGCCTTTTTACGCAAGAGCTCTTGCGCAAAAAGGCTTATTCCTCATAGAAAGAGGAACAACGTGTGCGCAGAAAGCCCTGTCTTCTGATGATCTGCTGTACTTTTTCTTGCACAAAAATGCACTTGTAGTGTGGATGCTCTGCAAGTTTTTGCGCAAAAACTCTGCAGTTTAGATGTAGCTTCAACACCAAGAGGGCTGTCATTAGAATACTATAAATTTACCACACAGCACTTTAAGCTACTATGTAGGCAGTATAAACCACTCTATGTTGGGCAGTAAAATTCTAAATAATACCCTTCAATTTTCCATTTTCCTGCCTGTCTTCCACATTCAGGTTAGACATGGCCTGAGCTCAAAGTTCTGACTGAGACCCAACCTTTCCTAAGTTTTGAGAGTGTTTGGATCTCGTTTAGTTTGAGTCCATCTCTGATTGAGATGCTGAACTGCATTTCCTATGTATCAAATCACATCATCAAACTATTACAATGGCAGCTATCGATTAGTGTAAGTGAAGTAGTATGAGGAAAAATATTTAAAATTATGTCAAGAACCCTTGAATGTGGTTAGGCTTCTTGGCAGTTGGCCAGCATGATAAACATATAACACAGGCAGGTGAAATATTGTAATGAACTTCAAATGTAGATGAAAAAAACAATTGTTTTGGTTACTGTTTCTCACAATGAGCTCTTACATTCTGCATCCATACTGAGTCAAGGGCCTAATCATCTTTGAAAATGGTACTTAGACTCCTGAGTCACTTAAGCCCTTCTGAAAATTTTATCCAATATCTGTGCAAATATATGGTAAATCTGAACATTTATATGTCATTTTAATTATCTTGCAGCTCTTACGTCAGCATTTTCTTTTAAATGTGCTTCACTTTTCTACAGTTTCCATGAGTCAAGGGATACAAATAACTGATTAAACCATTTATTCATCTTACACAGTAATTAAAAATGTATTTTGGGGGGAATTCTTGTGTTTGAAAATACCGTGTATCATTTTCTCTCTCAAAGATTTATAAAGTCAGGGGATTTGTCAGTGTGAACATATGTTCCCTGTTTCACTCCAGAAAGAAAGGACTCTCTGGTCAGGCAACCTCTATGGTCCGGCATGATTTTAGTTAGCCAGATGTCCACATATCATGGGTACGGCCAAATTTCCCATGATCCTGTAAAGTTTGTTTACAGCCACCACTCCTGGCTCTCAGTGTTCTGTGTTGTTATTTAGCTCTAATTTATCCCTAAATGTCTTCCAATACCCCAGTAATCAGTGGTAGCATCGCTAATGCTACTAGACAATATTGACCTCCAATGGTCCGACAAATTATCTGGTTTGGCACCTGTCAGTCAGGTGCTTCATTCTTGTCAAGATAGATAAACTGCCTGTAAAAACATTGGTATTGACAGCTCTCTTAAAATTCATCATTTTAATGCATTGCAAATCTTTTCCAGTGGAATTTAGTATTTGTGCCAAATTTTTCTTTTCCTGTCGACTATAGAATTTTGGCTCTTTCTAAAGCACAGGTGGCAATAAGCAGCCTGCAGGATGGACACAGTTCATAAGATGGAAGCTACTTCATTCACCTGTGCATCCGCAGGTACAGCTTCGGAGCCACTGGCTGCAGTTCACCATTCCTGGTTAATGGGAGCTGCGGGAAATGCTACAGACTGAGACACTACTTCCCACAGCTCCTGTTGGCCGGGAACCTCGAACCATATCCAAGGAGAGCTAAAAGCGTCATACCTGCAGTCATGTCCCGCCGACAGGCCACTTATTTCTCATCCTTATAATCTAAAGGGAAACTCAAGCAATATAATGACTTTCTGATGCTAGAAATCAATCAAAAGCATTTGACTTGAAATCTGAGGCTTACTTCTGTATGTTAAAGTAATGGCCCTCATACTAAAATGTTTCAGTCATTTTCTGTCTTCCTACTCTTATAACATTAAATTTCAAAAGCTCAGATTACCCAGAATATCTCCTAATACATAATTCTAAACAAATGTTTCTGTGTTCATGTTTTTCATATTTTTTCCTATTAAAGTTCCAGAATTTGCAATGAGAATTTTCTGAGGTGACCTTTGAATTTGGTATTATTTCTACCTGAACTCAAAGTAGGATAGCAGGCTGGTCAGTCCCTGTGTCTATTCAGGCGGTGGCCTCTGCTGTCTACTAAGACATTTTGTTTTTGTTTTCTGTTTGCTGAGGCTGAGAATGGGGATTAACCGTATTTAGTATAAGCCAAGAAACTGAAGAATGTTCCAATTTGTGCACTGGGAAGTAGACTATTAAGAGCTTTATGGTCTCATGTGGGTCAACAAATGGTGGTAATTTGAGGTCAGTTTCAGTTTGGTTTAGATTAGAGCTAGTGTTCTAGAAGTTAAAAAAAATGTTCTGGAGCCTGTTTCTGCTTCCCTATTCCATCTTTCAAAGGCCTGAACCAGTCTTACTCATATGAATTATCTTTGCTCATGTGACCCATTGACTTTAATCCAGGATGGAGCCCATAGAATTCTTTCCCTTGGGGGCTGAGGGCTAAGGGTGTATTTTTTGCTTTGAATTCCTGGACAAATCAGACAGACACTGTATTGTATTAATGGCTAGTGTATTGGTACAACCTGTAGTGGAATAGTGACTTTCTGATACTTTAAAACCTGGGGATATTCAGGAGGTTGCAGGGAGAGTTCAGGTTACTTTCTGAGCTAAAACCCACACAAATTTCACTGAATGAATGGGGTCATTGACTTATTGGAAAGAGACATACTCCATGTACAATTTATAATCTTTTCTAAAAGGCTTCCCTTTCACTTATGTAACTCCTACAGGATTTATAGTGATTGTGTGTCTCAGATTTCTAGATTTAAAAATAGTTGATTTTTTTAAGCATTGAAGCAATACAGAAACATCATTGTTAATTGCTTCTTTCCTAATTTATTTTTCTTTCTTTGCATACATGTTCCCTTCAAATTGTTAAAATTATTTATTTCAGTAAAAATTGCTTTTTATTGTGATCAAGTAAATTTCTGTCTTTATTTTTTGATATTTGTACTGTTTTGTGGTTATAATAAAGGTAGATTTGTAACTCTGGTAAAGTTCCTTATATAGCACAGTTAAATATAGATTTTTTTTTTTTAGTAATAAGTAGTGGCAGTTTTTTGCACATTTTTTGTTACTGTTCTTTTAAAACCCCATGGCATAAGGTTGCAAAATGGCAACAGGTTTAACCTACAACAGTGGTCACTAACCAGTATATTGGGATCTATCAGAAGATGTTGGAGCCTCTGACAGGGGATCCTGACTGGCTTGGCTGGGGGGCTCTCAAGTGCTGGCACTTCAGTTGGTCTTCCATCCACTGTCATGCTGCTCCTGTCCTCTGCCTTGGAGCTGCTCCTGCTTGTTGTGAAGGGTGTGGGAGAGAGAAGGGGGGTGCTGATGTTAGAGTGTCCCTCCTCCCACCTCTCCTGTACCCTATCTCCACAGAGAGAATGGGATGGAGAGAGCTTGGCAATGCAAATCTGTCACTCTCACACAGTGTGTGTGTCTCTCATAAACACATGCTGTCCTTCCCTCTCACATCCTGACCCAACATGCTTGTTACTACTTTTACTGCTTGCAAATTGGTTATTTTTCATTTTTGACTGGTCTGTGCATTTCATAACTTTCATTTCTCTCTATGCTTAAATGTAATTCTTTGAGTAGTGAGTTCTAAAATGCCGAACCTGTCGTATCTGGAGTCATTATCCCTGTGGGAATTGTGCTCCTGGAGGTGGCTGACATGTCCCTACAGCCCCTGAAAAAGGCAGAGCAGGGGGTCTTTCTAGTGGACACCTGCAGCTCCCATTGATCAATAACAGAGAACCATGGTCAATAGAAGTTTTGGGGTCAGTGCCTGTAGATGTGGGGCAGCACATGGAGCCATTGCTGTATATGCCAGCTGCTTTCAGGCAGAGTAGTGTAGAACCAGCACAGAGTAGTGCAGAACCAGCACAGCTCGGGGAGGGAGATCCAGGCTCGGGAGTGTTGGGCTCAGGTTGAAGGTTGGGGTGCTGAGCAAGCCATGGGCTTGTGAATGTGAGGGTTCTGGAGTTTGGGCTGGATATGTGAGGGACTCAGGGCAAGAAGGTTGTGAGTGACTGGCTCAGGACGCAGATTTGTGATATGTGGACGGTGCAGGAGTGTGGTGGCAGAAGACTGAGGATGTGGGGATGCAGGAGTTTGGGGATGTAAGAGGCTCAGGACAGGGGGTTCCAGTGTATGATAGGTTCAGAATTGGGGTCAGGTGGTGCAGGAGTGTTATGATGCTGCAGTGAGATGGGAGTTTGGTCCCAATTGGGGGCTTGTTGGCCAGGCTTCATTTTTAAATAAAATATTATGTCAAACTCAAAAGATTTTAGCATTGTCTTTATTTGAGAGGGGTGAGGAACCTGTTTTGAGTCAAGGGTCACTGACCCACAGAAAAGTGTGATGCAAAAAAACCCCAACAACCCTCCAAAAAACCCCAAGCCTCACTAATGTGGTCCCAAATGTGCTGGTGGAAGCAGGGGACAGAGTGAAAGTGGGTGCTGGGGCTGGGGAGAGGGTGCTGCTGGGTGGAAGGATGCTGGCTCAGGTGGCAGGGTGCTGGGGCAAGGTGCTGGGGCAGGCAGGTGGCAGGGTGCTGGGGTCAGGGACACGGTCCTGCTGGGCACTAGGGTGACTGGCAGGGTTCTGGGACAAGGAACAGGGTGCTGCTGGGTGCTAGCGTGGATAGCAGGGTGCTGGGACCGGGGCCGGAGCCAGGATGGTGCTGAGTCCTGGGGTGTGAGGCAGGGTGCTCGGGCCAGGTGCTAGGGGGGATGGCAGGGATGCCAAGGAGTGGGATAGGGATGGGGTGCAGGATCTGGGAGGCGGAAGGGGGCACGGTCTGGGTGGTAGGTAGGGTGCAGAAGTAGGCTGGATGTAGGGTGTCTGTCCAGCGGGAGGAAGCAGAAGCAGATTGGGGGGTAGGGTGTGTGGCTACAAGGGAGGGTGCAAGAAGGAGTTGGACCTCTCTGAACTGGCACACTCTGGACCTGACTGGTCCCAAATAAGGGCTTTTTTGGACCAGGGGAGGTCATTTCAGGGCTCCTGGTCGTCCCCCCTCCCCACACCCCACTAGGCTTTTTTACACCTCCCTCCCCTGCAACCCAGCTGAGCTGCCCACCGCCGCTGGTTCCCTGCACCTCCCCCAGAATCATCCCCCGCAATCCAAGGGAGTGCCGCACCAGTTCCCTGCAGCCCCTCCCAGCCCAGCTGAGCTGCCTGTCTGTTCCGTATGCCCTCCCCCATCCACCTCAGCCCAGCTGAGCCCTGCACTGTTCAGTGTATCAATAGAGGAGGTTTTGGAACAAATTGATACACTGAACAGTAACAAGTTACCGTCTTGCACCACAACTCTGATGGTCCTGCTCAGGAATAAGCCATTTTGCACAACTGTTCTTGCGCAAGAGGCCAGTGTAGTAGACAGGCAACATGAATTCCTTGCGCAAGAAAGCCCTATGGCTAAAATGGCCATCAGCACTTTCTCGGGAAAGAGAGTGTCCACACTGCCATAGATGCTCTTGTGCAAAAGCACAGCTCGCACATGGCAGTGTGGACGTGTTCTTGCACAAGAACTCTTGCACAAGAAACCGCCCGTGTAGACATGGGCTAAGGGTTTCCCCCCCCATGAGCAAAATGAACTCACACCAGTACTGAGTTCATTTGGGTTGTTTGGATGTGCCACTGTGGCACCCAAATAATTAATAAATATTTTATAAACCTTTACCTTTTCTCTCTGCTGCCATGTCTCCTTCCCTTGTTCCATCAGCTCCCCTGGTGCCTGCTGCCTCCCCAACTCCTCACCCTCCTCTGATGTCCTGACTCCTGCCCTTCTCACTGCCCTCAGCCCTCCTGCGACCTGCCCCCTCCACCAGCCCTTCTCTCTTTCCCGTGCCCACTCCTCCAGTAGCTCCATTCTGATCATGTGAACTACCCCTCCTCATCCCCTCTTCAAACACCTCCCTCTACACACCTACCCTGCCTCTCTCCTCTGGTGCTGGTCCCTCCCCTGCAGGTGTCTCCCCTTCTGCTTCACCCCCAGAATTCCCTGACACCTGCACCTTCCCTTACTCCTGCATTCTTCTGGTGCCTCCCCCATCCCTCAATGCCCCTGCCCCCTTTGCCCTCTTTTCCCTGATGCCCAGCCCTTCACCATCTTCTGCCCCCGTTTCCCTCATGCCCCTCTGTGCCCTCACACATGACTTGCTCCATCTCCTGGCACCTGCACCTTCCCTTAGCCCTGCACCCTCCTGGTGCCTCCCCCTTCCCTCACTGCTCCTGCCCCCTTTGCCCTCTTTTTCCCTGATGCCCACCCCCTCACCACTCTCTGCTCCATTCCCCTCATGCCCCTGTGCCCTCACACATGGCTTGCTCCATCCCTGCCTTTCTCATGCCCACCCCTTCTTTCAAGCCTTCTCCCAGCACCTCCCCGTCCCCCCTCTAGCCCCCAATGCCCTTATCCTCTCCCCTCCCAGCTTCACCCTGTCCCCCTCCCATGGACACCTCCCCTCCTGCCTGTTAAAAGCATTTGCGGAAAAGAGCGTCTAGATTGGCACGGACGCTTTTCCACAAAAGCACTTTTTGCGGAAAAGCATCCGTGGCAATCTAGATGCTCTTTTCCGAAAATGCTTTTAATGGAAAACTTTTCCGTTAAAAGCATTTCCGGAAAATCATGCCAGTCTAGACGCAAAAGCTTTGCGCAAAAGGACTTTTGCCCGAATGGGAGCAGCATAGTATTTCCTCAAGAAGCACTGATTTCAGACAGTAGGAAGTCAGCGTTCTTGCGGAAATTCAAGCGGCCAGTGTAGAAGCAGCCTTAAGCTATGTCTACACTACAAGGTTTTTGCACAAAACAGCTGTTATTGCGCAATAACTGGAAGAGCATCCACACCTCAAGTGCGTTTTTGTGAAAAAAAAATACAGTAAATCCACAGGACAAAGGGCTTTTGCCTGTAGAGTTATTCCTCTCCCCATGAGGAATAACTCCTTTTTGCACTACAGCTCTTGCGCAAAAAGACATGTGTGGACGCTCTGCAGGGGTTTCTTACACAGTGTGGGTGCTCTCTTGCTTTTGCAGTGCGCTTTTGAGGTGTGGACGTGCTTTTGCGCAAGAAGGATCTTCCGCAAAAAGCTTCTTGTGCAAAAACCCGGCAGTATAGAAAAAGCCTCTATGTGACAAAGTTTATGGTCCTTTCTGTTTTCCTCACTAGGATTTGACTTCCACTTTTTAAATGATGTCTTTTATCTGTCACTGCTTCTTTTACCTGGTTAAGCTACAGTGGCACTTTTTTGGTTCTCTGTGTTTTTTAATTTGGGGGTATACATTCAAGTTGAGCCTCTATTATGGTATCTTTGAAAAATTTCCATGAAGCTTGCAGAGATTTTACTTTTGTCACTGACCCTTTTACTTTCTGTTTAACTAACGTCCTCATTTTTGTGTAGTTCCCCTTTCTGAAAATAAATTCTACAGTGTTGGGTTGCTGAGGTGTTTTTCCTACTTCAGGGATGTTAAAATTTATTATATTAAGGTCACTATTTCTAAGCGGTCCAGTTATATTTGCCTCTTGAACTCCATTTAGGACTAAATAAAGAATAGCCTCTTCCCGTGTAGGTTCCAGAACCAGCTGCTCCAAGAAGTAGTCATTTAAAAGTTTCAAAAATTTTTATCTCTGCATCCTGTCCTGAGGTGACATGTATCCAGTCAATAGGGGGATAGTTAAAATCCCCCCGCTATTATCGAGGTTTTTACTTTGATAGCCTCTCTCATCTCCCTTAGCATTTCATAGTCACTATCACTGTTCTGATCAGGTGGTCGATAATATATCCCTACTGCTATATTCTTCTTATTGGAGCATGGAATTACTATCCATAGAGATTCTATGGAACATTTTGGTTCATTACTTCATTTGATTCTACGTTTTCTTTCACATATAGTGCCACTCCTCCACCAGCTTGACCTGTTCTGTCCTTACAATATATTTTGTACCCTGGTATGACTGTGCCCCATTGATTGTCCTCATTCTACCAAGTTTCTGTGATGCCTATTATATCAATATCCTCCTTTAAAACTAGGCACTCCAGTTCACCTATTTCACTATTTAGACTTTTAGCATTTATGTAAAAGCACTTCAATAACTTGTCACTATTTATCTGTCTGCCATTTCCTGATGTGTTAGATGCTTTTTCATTTGATTGTGTCTCATCTTCTCTGATCTATACTTCTATTCTCTCCTCCTGACTAGGGCATCTCTATTAATAGAACCTTCCCTAATAGATGTCTCTGTCTGATCCATGAGCGTCTCTGCACTGGTCAGCTTTCCCCCAGTGGGAGCCAGTTCCATCCCTGGGACAGCCTGTGTGGGCTACCTTGCCCTTCCTGGGGTGGGTGGGACTTGAGCCCAACACCCTGTGCTCCCCAAGCAAATGCCCTGTCCCCTAATCCACCCCACCTTCAGTGGGTCCTTTATCCTGCCTTCCTAATACGGGAGCCAGCTCCAGCCCCCGAGCAGCCTTTGTTGGCTGGGCCTCTGCTCCCAGGGTCAGGGATAGGGGTGGGGGTGCTCACGCTCACACCCATGTGCTCCTCCAGGCAAATGCCTTATCCCCCTCAAAAACCCACACCACCTCCCTGCCTTCAGAGGAACCCTTATCCTGCCTTCCTAATACAGCAGCCAGCTCCATCCCAGGGGCAGCCTGTGTTGGCTGCCTGGCCAATCCCAGTGTGGGCTGAGGAGAGTGGGGCAGGACATAACCCCACCACCCTGTGCTCTCCAGGTGAGTGCCCCACCACCTAAGCCACTCCAGAACCCACCCCCACCTCCCTACCTTCAGGGCATCCCTTCCCACACTCTGAACCACTTGACCCAAGAGCAGAGGCTGCACCCCTAACCCTCTACCCCAACCTGATGAAAGTGGGGGAAGATGGGGGAGGGATGGACAATGGAAGGAGCAGCGGCAGGGCCTCGGAGAATGGGCACAAAGGAGGCAGGACAAGGGTATTTGGGTTTGAGGTAGATCTTGCATTGCACTTAGATTCAAAAAGCAATCTCATGCTTAAAAAGGTTGGAGACCCCTGATCTTCTCTTTTTAGACAGAGAAGATTCATAAGAGAATGTGCTGTACCACTGTTGGATTAATGAAATCAAGGATAATTTTGTAACATTACTCTTGTGGTGCTCTGTTGCAGGACTCATAGAACTGAAAATGGAAGGTTGGATATATTATATAACTCTCAGCTGTCTTTCCATCAGCGCCTGTATGCAGACCTGGAAGCGATTTTGTATCATATCCACCTCTGTAAACCTCTTTCTGCTATATCAAAACAACCACTGGTTTATGTCAGGGATATGGTTCCTCAAGCATGTTTCCAAGCCTTGTCCAGGTGAGACCCTTCCTAGATTCATAGTCAAGAAGCCGACAATTGAAGTATCACCAAAGTAGCATGACACAATGTCTGCATCTAGACTGGCAGCTTTTGTGCAAAATCTTGCCACCTGTCTACAGGCTGCGAGTATTTGCGCAAGAACACTGACTTTGTACTGTACAAAATCAGTGCTTCTTGCACAAATACTCTGATGATTCCAGTCAGGCATAAGCCCTCTTGTGCAAGTATTCTTGCGCAAGAGGGCCAGTGTAGACAGCCAAGTTAATTTCTTGCGCCAGAAAGCCCGATGGCTAAAATGGCCATCGGAGCTTTCTTGCGCAAGAGAGTGTCTACACTGGCACGGATGCTTTTGTGCAAAAGATGTTTTACACAAATACTTTTAACGGAAAATCTTTTCCATTAAAAGTATTTGCGCAAAATCTTGCTAGTCTAGACGCAGCCAATGATTAATGCCTTGGCATTTGCTTGCAGAAAGAAAGCAGCTCAGTGGGCCTGCAAGTGAGTTTTAGGTGTGAGATCAGGTCTGGGAAAGCACAGATGAGCACAATGCAAATGAGGCTTGCAACTCTGGGGATTAGCATGCTGATTTCATCACCATCCACATGCTTCTGCCCCTCGAATAATTTTTGCAATCACATGTACTTTGATGATAACTAACTGCCCCTACCTCCCTTTCTGGACATGAAGTTATTCCTTATGCAGTGGGGCAGAAGAGATGGAGGAATAGGAAAAAAAGGCAATAAAATTATCTTGTGACAGATGCCTGTTCCACCTGAAAGAACAGAGGCTGGAAAAGCATTCATTCTCTATGTAGCTTTCCTACGGATGTATAGGGTAAAGTAATGGAGCAAGGCGGAGGGTAACAAGCCAAGGAAGTCTATAAACGCAGCTCCAGGGTCATCAGAAGAGAGAAGCTTTCAGGAGGCAGAAATCCACATCCAGAGGGGCTGAAGTTTTGATGTTTGCATAATCTTGTTGGGATTTTGTTTTGTTTTGTTTTGTTTTTTAGTCATAGCTATTCGAGTGGCTCAGTTCAGCAGCATACGGCTCCCACCTACCTGTCAGCCCCCACTTGCCTCAAAGTAGTCAAAATGTTAGTTGTGTGTTAGTTAAAAAGCATAATAACCTGGAGAGAAAGAGTGAAGGCATAACTGTAAATATAAATTGTTACTATTGTGTAAAATGTGTAGAGAAAGTAATCATGCAAGATAAGCAAAAGAAAAAATAACCAAAAACCACAAAACCCTCTTGCTTTTGAAAAATAGGAAATAGGTTTAATCCATCTTCTGAAATAAGCAAATCAAATGTTTAGAAGGCTGAAAAGAGAGAGTGGGTACTTTACTCTCTGCTATCAATAGAATGGTTCATTTTGCTTATTTTCTAAACTAAAACCCACCCAGCTTTCACTGAAACAGCCTTTATTACTGCTTTGAGAGGGCTCAGTTTCAAAAGATAAAACTCCTACATTGCTCACTTGGGGTGTGTCTGTACAGCAGATCTTAACTCGAAATAAGCTACGCAAATTGAGCTACATCAATTGCGTAGCTTTTTTCAAAATAAATAGGGAGCATCTACAGAGCACTTATTTCAAAATAGAGTGCTCTTCCTCTGACTTCCCTTACGCCTCGTATAATGAGGGTTACAGGAGTCGGAGTAAGAAGTCTTCCAGCTTGGCAGTATTTCAACATTACTTTGAAATAACTGCCTGCTGTGTAGATGAGGACAAAGTTATTTCGAAATAACTAGCGTTATTGGACGTTCTCTTACAGTGCTTATGGGGAAGCTTCACCAAATAAGCATTCAGATTAAATGGCAAAGCTGTTATTTCCAGCTAGAAGAGGAAGAGACCATTGTTAGTGGTTTCTGAGTTTCTTTTTGCATTTCAGTATCTTGCATAAAAGAATGACTTAGATCAGTTGCTTAACTGGGTATCATTTCCAAGGTGGCTGCTATAGTCTTGACTATGGCAGTGTGTCTGTCAGTAGCATATGCCAGACATGGATGCATCAGACTTGTTTAGTGCATGTGTTTGTTTCTTTCTACTGTAAGTGTTCCCAAACTTTTTACCTGCATAACCCCATTTTAAGATTTACTGTTTCCTGAGATGGAATCAAAGCAACATAGCAAACAAAGGTTTTAAGAAATTTACATATTAAGTATATTAGTTAATGCTCTCTAATGTGACACATGGGTTAGTGCAGGGCAAATCAACTTTGGAAGTCTCGGGGGGCCACAGTGATACTCACCGCACATACTGAGGGCCGCAACTTAAGTGGGGTTGCATATACATGCAAATATATGTGCAAATACATGCAAATAGCTTCTTTCACACTGACGGACATGCATACAAAGATTAAGGCAAGACTACACAACACACAGGCCCCATTTAAGTCAGTAAATGCAATATTTACCCAATTTCTACCCATATGACAGCACTTTTAATGAACAATGACAGTCGAGGAATTTAACTGCTAAAATGCATATCAACAGAAGACCATTATATTGAGTACTTTTTTGTTTTGGCTCCCACCTACGGGGTGTGTGTTGAGCCCCAGTAACCCTAAACCATGGGCCACAAATAAACAGGCCTGTGGGCCACATGTTGAGTTGACCCTAGGTGAGTGTGTTGTGACACAGCTTCTTAAAGTCTGGTAGCTTTGAGACAATGCTCATTTAATCTCCAGTGTGATGTCAGCATGGCTCTTGATGGACACACATGCGACGAATCTAGCTTCACCAAAATACATGCTCGCAAATGGTGCATCAATTTCAAAGCAGGTGTGGAAAGCACAAGATATTCATTCTTGACAACAAAACTCTGGGAACATAAGTTGGGCATGTGTTCCTCTCAAGGAGCAATCCTGGGAAATTTCAATGAAGTTTGACGTCAGTTGCTGACAAATCCATGGCATCAGGCTTGCCCTGAAAGTGGTTTGACACCCAATTTGTCATGTTCACTTCAGGGGATGAGGGAGATGCAAGCTGTTTCTCCAGCTGGCTGAGAAGTTCAACCGTCTTCTGTGGTGGAGGCTGGATAAATGTATTGTCAATTAAGAACTTGCAAAGTTGTGGGGAGGATCCATAAATTTGTCTTCACTAGATTATTTTTCCAGAAAACATTTTTCTCCATGAATGCTGTGAAAATGATTCCAGGTTTCTGGAGCAGCAGCTCTGCAGTGCTTTGCCAGGTGTAGCTGAGGGTTCTTCCGTTAGGGATGTAAAGGGTTAACTAGGTGATGTTTACTGGGTAATGAGTGAACCGACACGGGCAGAGGGCTGTGATGTGGTGGGCTGGCTGGACTTGAGCAGCTCCCAACCCTTGGAGTGGTACAGTGGGCCCTACCATTTACAGAGGGCTGCGCTGGGGGTGCCTCCCCCGCTCATTGTAGGCTATTTGGACCCCAGTTAACTAGTTAAATGATTAAAATTATATCATTTAACTTGTTAACATTTTTAACGGGTACTTACATCCCTACCTCCAGTGGAAATCAGTGTGTGAGAGGCTGGTGAACATGAAACATGGTGGTCAGAGTGGTTTTTGATAGAGCTGCCATTTCTGTGGTAGTGAGGAATGGGGCTGCAGGAAAGTCAATGTGCCTTGTCGCACTCATGGCCATATACTCGGAGAGAGCATCTCAGAGGGATACAAATAAAGTTGAGAGTCGGTTTTGGTGCCACATACAGTACAACCCCTATTTCATATCCTGATTGAGGCATTTATAAAATTGAAAAATCTCAAAATGACAGATTTGGTGAATAAATTAATGTGTTCATTGATGATTTACATAACAAATAGTTACAAAGGTACATTGTGCCTGGTTTTTGTTTGGGAGAACTTCCGCTCAACTTTGTCACCAAATTTCTCAGGCTTTTCAAACCAGTATACGTTCATGAATGTTGACCAAAGGATTGAAGTTATGTTTGACAGCAAAATGACGAGTTCTGAAACAAAAACATTGTGCCTATAACTGGTCCGTCATAAGATCGATGTTCATAAAACTTGAGGTTCTGTATTGTGATCAAATCAGCCAATAGTTCAGTGTCTCATCTCCAGTATTGAAAGTTCTGTTTTTCAGTACACCAGTTGGATGTACTCATTAACCCTGCTTAACGAAATGTTTTGAATCATCAGTATACAAAAGAAAGGTTTATAAAAACCTTTGAGTCATCAAAGCAGTTGTAATTTGTGACATTAAATGTTATCAATGAGGTTTTAAATATTTTGTTCAGAAATCATTAAGGAAAATTGACTCATTGCAGTGGTTTTTACAATTCTGAGTGTTTTGTGTATGAAAATGTTCATCGTAACATTAACATACACTCCTCATCAAGCATATCAGCAAAAGCATGAACAAAACGTTTGTTTCTAGTTTTGACAATACGCTTACTTCTTTCCTTTAATAATTCTTATTACATACACAGAAGGGAAATTGCTGTCTCACTTGCACAGAAAGTAACAGCTATGGTCCATTTGGAAAGAAGACACTTCAATATATTGTGCAAAATGCATGTGACGTATATTGCTTTTGCTTCCTCTGCTCTCCAATGTTTTTTTAAACTGATTTAGTTAAGCTGGTGGAAACCCCTTTGTGCACATCCCTAAAATTGATTTGAACCTGTCTTGTGTCAATTTAGCTTAAGGAATCTTCTTAGGATAAATTGACCCCCAACGTAGCGGTTGATTGGAGGCAGGTTTGAAATTCATTTTAATTAAACTAGTGAAACTTTTTGCAGACAAGGCCTAACAGCAGAAAATGACTCTGAAGAGGCTGTTCCTCCAGCCAGAGCTGCTAGAGAGCATAATGCGCTTCCTTCCTGCTCTCCACTTCCTTGTCCATACCCAGCCCTGGAACTTTTTCTTTTTTTGGGGGGTGGGGGAAATGGGAGATGTTCATTTGGAGCTGGCTTGCTAGGCCAATCCTTAGCTGCTGTCTTAAAATAACTTTAAAGTCCACTGTGCCACACTAGAGGGGGCTGAAGATTTGGCCCTGTCTCACGTTTCACACTCACGTTGACCTGGCTGGTATAGTCAATTTAACTTTTGTTTTTTAAATATTTCATTTCACTATTTTAGTTAAAAATAATTTTATCAAAACCTTGAATTAAAAAAAAACATGTTTAATCAAATTAAAAAAAAACACATGCCTGTTTTGTTAAAATATTTGCTATTGAAGAAAAAATCCAGAATACATAACTTTGTTGTTTTAGTTAAATAAAACAATTTAAATGTCTGTCTGGTGATGTTCTCTTAACACAGCATGGCAATAAAATTTGCCAAATATTAATGATTAACCTGTTGAATTGGAGACAGTTCACCGCCCAATGACTTCATAAATATCTGCTTCAATTACCTTTGGCAAATGAAATAATCAATCATTCATTTTCTGATATAGCTGTAAAACTAATCTGAAAAGTTTTCAAAATAATTCACTGTTTAAAAAATGTACCTTCTAAAAATGAAACCTACATCTATCTCTGAGTTGTGAAGAATACGCATTAAGGTTATAACAACCAACAAGAATGCACTTTTATGTAGAAAACCATGATTAAATTGAGTCTTCCTGATTAGTGATTTAAATCATGATTTAAATCAACTTGATTTAAAGCAAATCCACCCTGCTCTGTCTGACACATGCTTGAGCATGTGTGTGCGTGTGTATACAAAGTGAGTGTGTAGTGCTCATTAATTTTGCAGTTGTACATTTTGAAGAGTAATTCTAGAAATCAAAGGCCAAACCCAGTAAGCAGGTACAATTTCCATGAAGCTCCCTGGGACAAATTCAGCAATGGTGGTGTTATGATGGCATGTGTTATAAGGCAATCAGGAAATGAGTTGTTAAAGATGCACAGTGTTAGCTTTCAGTGGGTGTACAAATGAATGTGGGTCATATACCAAACCATTTAGCAAGAGAATGTTATGGTAGAACTGGGTATTTTTCATGAATAATAGTTTAATGCTTGTTATGTGAGCAAAATAAAACTTGGTACATTTTGTGATAATCTATAGAAGTGTTGTGTCTGCTTGTGTTGCAGGCTGGATTATCTGTGCCGCAGTAAGAAATTAAGAGATGTCATTCAGAGAGGTCTGTTGCCTTCTGCAAAAATGATCACAGTCTTGAGTCAGGAATTTGGGATTCCCCTAACTAAGGAGGATTTGTTTATTCAAAGCCTTCCTTTGCCCTCACTCTCTTCATATGCTTTGCAAAACCCCAGAAGGGTGATCATGAAACAAGGAGCAATGCAGTCTTTATTGGATAACCACAATGAAAAGTACATTCAGCAGAAAAAGGAAAAGGAAGACATGCAGCATTACAAAGACCACATCCAGGTGAGTTGTGTTTGATTAGAACCATCATACCTGAAGCAATCCTAATAGTCATAATAATGCATCACATTGATTCCCCCTGCCTCCTCCGAAACTATACTCTTTTAGAGTTGGACACATCATGGTCAAAATCAGCACTGTATTATCTATTGCAGAAGCTCATCAGGGTGGGGGAAAACATAGTGGCTACGTATAGACTGGCATGATTTTCCGCAAATGCTTTTAACGGAAAAGTTAAAAACATACATATGGGAAGTACTTCCCTGTTGAAGTACATAAACTGATCCCAATCTGTAGTCTTTTGTGAAACAAAAGACAGGACTATGCAGCACTTTAAAGACTAACGAGATGGTTTATTAGGTGATGAGCTTTCGTGGTCCTGACAGAAAGGTTTGCTATAGAAAAACAGGAACATGTCTAATAAGAATGTCTACTAATAAGAATTAGCAGACTAATGTCAATTTTCTACTTTTCTGACAAAACAAACATTGTGCAGCCAAGTGCTAACATATTAGCATTTCTTTCTAAGTCAACACAGGATGACAAATCATGTAAGCACAATCAGTGTGAATTTGTGCTAGCATCTGAGGGGTGTAATATTTCCTTAGAGGCCACAAAGGGTCCCAGTATGGCTATCTCAAATAAAGAAAAAGGATACGAGGGTATATTTATACAATGCCAGCAGGGCTTTTTGTGAAGGGACATGAGGTAAGAACTTCTTGCTTGTGGTGTTAACATAGAGGATTTGTAGAAATAAAACAATGTGCTGTTGGGTTTTATTTCCCTGGTCATCAAATACACACACTCGGCCATGCAGAAGTTGCTCCAGAGCACCAGCACTTAGAATCCATGTGTATGAGGTCCTGTACTCTGGACACCCACCTCTGAGGAACTGCTGGTGCCCTTACGAGCTTTAATAATTAGAAAAGACAATGCCATCTCAAGCGCTATTAAGATGTCCTCTTTTGGGGTGATAACCAATAGGGGAAGCCCTGGTGGAATATCTGGAATTATAGTTATTTTATCATAAGGATTAAATGTCAGATCACATAAGACAATACTGAGTCAGACTGAAGATCTATCTAGCCAAGTATTCTGTCTTCTGACAATGGCCAATGCCAGGCACCTCAAAGGGAATGAACAGAACCGACAACCCCTCTCCTGTCACCCATTCCCAGATTCTGACAAACAGAGGCTACGGGCACCATTCCTTCCCATCTTGCCCACTGATGGACCTAACTTCAATGATACAATGAATGTATCTAGCTCTTTTTTAAAACCCTGTTATAATTGTGGCCTTCATAATTTCCTCAGGCAAGGACTTCCACAGGTTGACTGTGCAATGTGTGAAGTACTTCCTTTTGTTTTAAACCTGCTACCTGTTAATTTTGTTTGGTATCCCCTAGAGCATGTGTTATGGGAAGGAATAAATAACTTTTCCTTATTTTCTTTCGCCTTACCAGTCATGGTTTTATAGAGCTCTATCATTTCCTCCCTTAGTCATCTCTTTTCCAAACTGAAAAATCACAGTCTCATTAATCTCTCCTCACATGGCAACTGTTCCATACCCCCTTATCATTTTTATTGCCCTTTTCTGAACTTTTTTCAATTCCAAGGTATCTTTTTTTGAGCTGAGATGACCACATCTGCATGTAGCATTCAAAAATGTGGATTTATAGAGAGGAAATAAGATGTTCTTTTTCTTATTCTCTATCCCTTTTTTAATGTTTTCCAATTACACTAAGCTGCTGTGCAATTTTTGTTCAGACTAACATCGATGCCGTGTACCTGCTCAGCAGGGAGGTGAAAAAGCCGAAGTTCAGAAGCATCAGGATTTCTCCTGGTGTTGGCAAGTCGGTCTACAACTATAGTACTCAGCATCTCAATTCTGCAGAGTGGGCAAAGATGCAACTTTGTAAGGAGCTGGCAAAGGTGAGAGTGAGATATGTATGTAGTGCAATGTTTTATTGGGCATGACTTACCAAACTTTTGAATCCTGAAAGAGAGATGGCCTCTAAATAGATTGACATAAGCACCTTTCTTATCAAAATAGTGGTTCCCAAACTTTTTATTAAGTTGATCCACCAGCTGCGTTTTATCTTTTTTGTGGGGGAATCATTATTATCTATTCTCTCCCTTTCTGTCAGACACCATTTAAAGTGGGGTGGTGTGGCGCTCTGCCCATCCTCATTTCTAGCCAGGCCTTTCCTCAACCTCTCTTGCTCTCTGTCTCCCAGTCCTGCTCTTGTAAGTGGACAGAAAATTCCAGTAGGGTGCCTGCTTACTCCTCATGAAAGTGGAAGACAATAAAGTACAAAATTGCAATGAAACAAAGCACAACACAGCCTTCCAATCTGTCTCTCCCTGGGAGAGAACTAGCCTCTGCTAGATCCTTTAATGGAGAGGAGGCCTCCCTGAAACAGACTCCAAACCCCACAGATTCTCCTGCTGGCCGAGGAAGCCAAACAGTCCAAGTCTTCCCCTACATCAAGGCAAAGTGATGCCTCCTTTTGCAACCCCAGCTGGCCCCTTTCTCTTCACCGTTGGGCTGCATTTGCTACCAGGCCGCTCGTTGACTGTTTGCTTGCTGGCTCTGGTTGTTTCCTTTGTGCTGCTGTTGCTGCATCCTACTCGCCATGCTGCTCTGGCCCAGTGGAAGTGACAGCATGAAGCGGAGTGAGGAGTTCTGGGGGGCAGTGACAGGAAGCCCTCCTGGACCATTCCTGTGACCAGCTGATGGTTTGGGACCCACACTGTGTTCAAAGGTGTGATGGGAGTATAGAATCACAATGAAGATTCTACAAGAATATTACTAATTTGTTAAAAATGTTGCTTTCACACCAATTAATCCCACTTACATCAATGGAATTCCACAGGTTTAAAACTGAGAAGAGAAACTGAGCTACCACACATATGTTCATGCATTTTATAAGTAATATAAAGTGGTTTGAAAAGATGTTACACTTAACTCTACATCATTCAGTGTGTGTGTATATATAATCGAGTATTTATGTAGGTGTGACAACTGGCATAGTTATATAATCTTGTATAGGGTAAATTAGTTCACATAGACTATAAAGCTTATTTTATCCATTAAAACTCCTTGTGTATTATTTTTTGTTTAATAATAAAGCATATTATATATAATCCTGATTGTTAACCACTGCCTAACTCCTTGGCACTAGCTGAATATATCCCCATGAAGCAGAATTTATGCTAGTACAGGCTGGACCTCACTGGTTTGGCACCCTCGGAATCTGAGTGGTCCCAGGTGAGGGAATGTGCCGAACCAGGGAAGGTCCCCTGCCACCAGCCTCCTCAGCCTGCCACCTCTCCCCTCCGCTAGCTCCTTCAGCCCCACTACCAGCCGGGTGACACAGCTGCCCTGGCTCCACTGCAACAACCGTTGCACCAGCCCCACTGCCGGAACATCAGCACACAGCCCCTGGCCCTGCTGTTTTAGCAAAGTTCCACTGCTGGCTGGCGCGTGGCCTCAATCGGGCACTGCTGACCAGATGCAGCTCCAGACGGATTTCCCCTGCTGGGCTGCCGCAGCTCAGCCTGCTGCCACCCAGGCTGCTGTGGCTCTGACCCCGCTGCTGGGCTGGCACGCACATGCTGCCCCTACCCTGCTACCACAGTCCCGCTACCGCCACCTGTCTGCAGAGGCCCTGACCCCGCTACCATCAGCCTCGCCTTTCGCAGGGCTCTCAGCTGCTGGCTCTCCTGCCCCCGGGCTCTCTCATTCAGGAGCATAAATGTTGCCAGACAGAAGAGTCCCGGTTTAGGGAGGTGCGGATGTATTGTCCTGATTACGCAGCAGTCATTAATATTTATTATCACAGGAAAAACAAAATTCCTGGAAGATGGTTTATTAAAGCGGACATCCTGAATCAGTAGGAAATAGAGTATTGTAACAATGGTTTATATGCATCTGGTACTTTTCATGCGGCGATGCTGTACATACAAATTACGCATATTACATATAGGATGTTGTATGGGTGTGGGACAAGGAGACATTTTTGTCCTGAGGCCTTGGGTCTAAACTACTTCTTTTAAGCTAAATAAATGCATCATATTTAATGAATTCTCTTTATCATCCACATGGGTACTGACATATGAAAATCTATAATGTCATCTGCAACAACTCAGTTTTTCATGGATTTTGAGGCTAGAAGTGACCATTGTGGTTGTCTGTTCTTACGTGCATAACACAGGCCAGAAGACCTTACCCAATAACGAGTCCGTAACTTCTATATGAGCTTTCTCTTTATCAGTGAGAAAGAGATCAGGTCTTGACTTAAAGATTTCAAAATTACTGCCTTAATTTGGGGATGTAGGACTGCGTCAGACCTACCTCCAGGTAGACACTTCTGTTTCATGAGTTTTGAGAGGAGGAACCTCTACTGATATGAGTTTCTTGGATTATTCTGCAGTAGTCGAGGGTCCCCTGAAACTTTGCACAGTTCAGGTGGGATTTTAAAATGATCCATGTTAAAGTAACTCTGCTCCCACTGAAGTCAGTGGGAGCTTTACCACTGAATTTGTGGGGCAGAGTTAAAGCCAATGCTGAGTATCTTTGAAAATTCACACACTCCAGCAGCTTTTAAAGTCCCAGAAAAAATCAGCTGCACTTTGTTAGCTCTTAAAGTACATGTTAGCAGGTGATATTTTGGAAGCTGAAGTGCCTCTTGTGTGGACTTCCTGAGCTCCATAAAAATCAAACATACATACTGAGGATTTCTAACAGGTCCATAAACAGCTTCTGATAGCTCCATAAATAATTCCTTCTAGACCCTTCAAGATTACCGAAAGTCAGCTGGCCTCTTCATGCTCAACAAATGAAAGGCCTGATCCAACTTCTACTGAAGTCAGTGAAGAGAGACTATCACTGAATTCAGTGGGTATTGGATCATCCCTTAAAATAAATGGCTACGTCTAGACTGGCATGATTTTCTGCAAATGCTTTTAACGGAATAATTTTTCCGTTAAAAGCAGTTGCGGAAAAGATCGTCTAGATTGGCACGGATGCTTTTCCACAACAGCACTTTTTGCGGAAAAGCAGCCGTGCCAATCTAGACACAGTTTTGTGCAAGAAAGCCCCGATCGCCGTTTTCGCGATTGGGGCTTTTTTGTGCAAAACAATATCACGTTGTCTACACTGGCCCTCTTGCGCAAAAGCATTTGCCCGAACGGGAGCAGCACAGTATTTCCGCAAGAACACTGACAATCTTACATGAGATCGTCAGTGTTCTTGCAGAAATTCAAGTGGCCAGTGTAGACAGCTGGCAAGTTTTTCTGCAAAAGCAGCTGCTTTTGCAGAAAAACTTGCCAGCTGTCTACACTGGCCACTTGAATTTCTGTGTCTTTCAAATTTCAGGTCTTTTTTTGCCTCAGTCTTTTCAGAAAAATTATATCTTAACATGAAATCTTGCCTGTGAAATTTCAGGCTGATTGTTGGTGTTTTGTAAAAGTTTGTTGGGGTATGTTAGGAGAGAGTATACAAAGATAGGCTAACTTTACTCTTAACTATGAAGAAACCAGCATCTCTAGTATGATATGGGTCAAATCCTAGACTGGTGTAAATCAGAGTAACTATATTGAAACAAATTGATCCATGTCAGTTTACACCAGCTGAGGATCTAGATATATCTTTATCTATAAATGACCTAATATTTAATCATTCTAATGATTGCACATTTGTTTTCTGTGCATCATCTTTATGTCCAGAGCTAGGAGGGGGATGCAAAATAAGATGACATTCAAAAATATTTTTGAAGTACTTAATCTCATTTCTTCATACTATCTGACTGGATTAATCTCTGGTTATTTTTAGATGGAAGTAGAACAGAGACAGTAGATGTTGATGTTAATATATACTTTCCTGGGCTGTGGTAATGTCCAGTAGAGGAGAACTTATGTTAACATAGAACATTTGTCATCCTAGAAACCAGAGAGGAGATTCACTTATTGTCATGAATACCTGTCAGCCATATTTGACCCTGTGGATTTGGACACTGTCCAGAAAGAATCTATTGCAAAATCCAAGAATATGTGGTTATCACCAAGTGGGTTTGTATATCCTGGGTTTAAGAGCAGCATTGAATCCAATCTGCACCCTCAGATGCCTGATGAAGCACGTCTGAAGGAGTTAACTGAGGTAACCTAGAAACTTAAAGTAGTAAGCCCCAGAACATTGTTTTTTAGTATCCAAACTGAATAAGGACAGGAGGCTCTGAAAAGGGAAGATGGTCTTTGAGGGATGGTTTTGGAGAGGATTCAGCAGAGCCTCTTATATATGTTAAGATTTTGTCCCTTACATGCACTTTTCTCCCATTTGTCTAACTAGGTGTGGACATGAAACTTGTCATCTGTGCCTGCAACTACTAGTGTGATTGTAAATTCACATATGTACCAATGGAACCCTGGGCCCGAACATCATAGTGTCCCAGCCCACTGTAAACAAGGCTGGTACTAGCGCACAAGTGCTCTCAGTTTAATTGTACTCTCACCTATGTATCTCCCATTGCTGAGTCCACTTAATTTTTTATTTCTTCCTCTGGCTCTGATTTCGCAAGCCTGAGTTCCTTGTTCTGCTCAGGAGTTCTTTCAGCCTCTAGAAGATGTGGCACACTGTCTAAATACAGCTTGAGGCTGTAGCGAAAACATGCTGACACCAACGTACAGAACAGTTATTAACATAATGAAGCTCTGTTGGTTAATATGCCTGAGTCTATATCTCGAGTCTTATTTAAAACCAGCCTTTGCTATAGAGTGGCCCCATATCTGCTCTTCATTTGGCCTAGTTCACCTGCTTGTGAACTGCGGAAGTTTTTTTTATTAGAAATATGATACATGTAAATATAGACAATTAGCTAATCTGTACAAGTGTGGCTGTGTGGCTTATACTTCTTTTCAAAGGACTGGGTTTCATATCTGGATGGCAAAGTTGTTTGTTAATAAAGTTAAGCCATCAGTAGTCCATAGAGTGTGCCACACTCTCCTTTTAGGAATGTAGCCAAACAGAAATAAACTAAAACACCTTTTATCCAATGTAAGCAAGTAGTTGCCCACCACTAAATTATTTTGGAGAAAATGCTTAGGTGCTAAATTTGCTAAATGTCCACAGTCCCAGGTGTGTCCCTTACCAAATAGCACTGTGTGACTTTCTTTTCTCTTCAGTTTATTATTGTTATTAGTGTTGCCATAATGCTTTAGAGCCCTAGTCATGGGTTAGGACACTATTCTGTTTTTTTCCTTTTAATATCTTTACTTCCTGTGGTGTCTTTCAGCTTCTGTTTTCTCTTTCTCTGTCATTTTGCAATTTTCTCTTGGCCTGTTCCCCTTCCTGCCATTTATTCCTCTTTTCCCCCTCCTTTCTTTCCTTCTATGCCTGTTCTTTCCAATTCCTCTGATCTCTCTTACCCTCTTTATAGTTTAACTTTCCCCATTCGTTTACATTTTACTGGATTGTCAACTAGACCAGTTCACTCACCTGTGGTCTCGACAGTTTTACTGAATCTGCAGCTCAGCATATATGTAAAATGAGTATGCAGTCAATTAAAATGCATGTGAATTGTCTGTATTTAGGAAGAAAGGGAATAGGAGGTTTTCATGGGGAGTCATTGGGTCCTAACAAATTATTTGAACACAGCTAGTGAGGAACAAAGCTAATGCCCATTTTAAATTTTCATCTGCATTACAATGCTTCTGAAATAAAACAGTTAACGTAGGCAGTGTGTGTTCTGCTGATCTGCACTGTTGGTGCCGTACAAAGAAATGCCACTGCTTTAGGGGCAACAGCAATCCCTAAAGTACAATGCAGCTGTCAGTGTCTCTTGCTGAAGAGATTAAATAAACAGCAAGGCAGCTGAGCAGCATGGGTCAGAACCTTACAAGTTGAAAGAAAGTGGGTAGTGGAAGGTGCAGCTGGTTGGCACAAGAAACAGCTAACCATAAGAAAGGGGAGAAGAGTATAGTGCTCAATGTGAGAGCAACAGTTGCTTAGGATGTGGCACTGACCAGTGGCACTTTGATGGCATGAAGAGAAGGTGGCTGACCACTTCAGCATAAGTGAAGCTAACTCCAGCATGACAGTGCTAAGAGAAAGCACAGGGGAAGCAGGTCCGCCGTGCTCAAATAGTTGCCGCTCTGGGTGCAGACGCTCTCTCAGCATTGAGTCACGATGGTGGGTAATAACTTGCTTAATTTAGTATTCACATCTCCAGAAAAGTCGAGTGAAGATGTAAAACCAGTAGAGTCCACTCTGAAGCCTACTTCCACCACTCAGTGTGCATTCATCTCTTTGTTTTCTTCTTCTCAAAAGCTGAATTTCACCAGGGCATCGAATGTAACCATGGGGAACTGAAACCATCTAGTTTCCTAAAGAATTTAATTCTGCTTTCTGCACGTACTCAGGCACCATCTTGTTCCAGAGCACAGGTGAAACTGCATGGCTAGGAATTTTCTCAACTTTCAGCTTAGAAAAGAGTTGTTCTCTCTTGGACGAATGAATACACCTCACATTTCAGACAGGGGAATCCCAAGGAAACCATATCTGCACAGCAGTTATTCATAGCAGTGAGACTGGATTTGAAGGAGCTACCCCTGAGGATGTTACAGTTTTAAGAGAGCTGAGATAATGAACAGGCTCTGCAACCCTTAGACCTTCTTCTCTTCGCCTGTTTCCTCAGCACAGCTGAGCAGTCAGGACCAGGTTTTGAGTAATGCTCAGCACTTGCAATCGGAGGCAGATTTTCAAGAAAGTTTAGCTCTCGTTTTTAAGATGTAAATCTACTGTTTTCAAAAGTGCTCAGCACTCCCCGCATCTGAGACCTGTCCCTTTTCCACCCGCATTTGACATAAATTAGATATAGACGTTTTCTGGATCAACTGAGTTCTTCTCTCTTTCTCCCCGCGTGCTGTGGAGAATACTGTCAAGCACTACAGCACCAAAGCAGCCAGTTGCTGCTTGTCTTTGAGCTTTCTCAAGAATTCTTGTTTAGAACCAAGGAATTCTTAGAAATACTGTTAATGATGCCTGAGATGTCATCAAGTTTGGTTCAAAGTAGCTTTGCTTCAACCAGACAACAGTATAGTTGAGGTGGGATGTCACTGGAGTGTAAATCTCCCCTGTACCTTATGTAACTATCCATCCTTTTATGTTCTCATTGGTCAGTGCTTTCTTTTGCTACAATATTGCTCAGTCCATAGAATAGTTTCCTTCTTCACAGTGCTTTACAGATGTGTACAAACGTTCAGGAAGAATGCAGTGTCGTTGCACGTCACCCAGAGGTGACAAGAGAGCGGATCCATCTGTAAACATTTTCATCTGGTTACTAGAAATACTGACATTCATTGTAAGTTCAGATTTCTTGCAAAATTGTGTTGTCTCCAGAAATCAGCTTTTATCAAAGGAAAAAGAAATCCAGGCTCTTTCCCACCCCCATCCACTTACAGCTCTGTACAGAGCTGCACTCTGCAAGCCAATAGCTATCACATTGATTTTCCTCATGTGTAGTGGGGGAGGTGGAATAATTGCTGCTCCGCTGAGCCTTTTTTGTGCGAGATTTCAGCCCAAAACAACAGAATTTCATCCCTGAAACGCTGACTGCGTGAAATACCTCCAGGCTTTTAGAAAATCCACCCATCCGTCTAATGTCAGAGAAGAGGCTCTTCAGAAACAAGGTGCTCTGCGTCTACTGTATTGTGCTTGAGGCGAAGAAACCATACCATCCTCCACACGCTTGAGCCTTTCCTTCATTACATTTCACCTGTGGAGAGGCCACCTTTTCGGTCACCTCTTTCTGTTCAGCAGTGTAATCCCAGTCTTCTTGCTACACCTGTAGGGAACACTATGAAGTGCCTTATTCAGGATATACTGCTTCCTTAGATATTAAAACAGTTTTCCCAGCTATTTAGCCTACAGTTGTACTTTCAAGTGAATGCCTCTCCCTTTCCCTGCCTCGAGTTCCAGTACTGTCCATAGGAGGTAAAGTGGCAGGTTGGTGATCAGTTTACCATGTCAGAGTTCCCATGTCTTTTCTAGAAGGTAATACTTTACCCTCTAAACATCCCTGACAGGCTAGTCAAGCAAGACAGGATTCTGAATCCCACTGCAACATGTGCTGCTATCAAGAGGAAAAGTAATGCAGAGCATGCCCTGCCCTTGTTAAGAGGCCAGCAAGTACAAGAGCTCTTCTTTGAGTGCTATCCCTGGGTGTGCTCCACTCTAGGTCCTGGTGCATCCTTGTGCTGGTGAGTGGAGATCTTTTTCTAGCCATGCCCTGTTGCTCTGCACATGTACAGTAGTGTCCCCTCATGCAGTTACTGTCGGTTGAGTATGCTTGCAGTACGGGGCCTCCGTTCCTTCTCTAGCAGCAGATGGAACTTCACTCAGTCGGGATGGTAAGTAGCGGTTAATTAGCTAATTGAGTAGTCAATGGAATTTCCATTGACTACTCAATTAGTTGAAATGGGGGGAGGGAGGACCTGCTTCCCCCCCTGTGGCTCTGCAGTTTAAATGTAGTAGGAACTGGGTGAGCAGGCAGCCCAGCTCTTACTACATTTAAATTGCAGAGCCACAGTGGCAGCATGAGCCAGGACTGAGCAGTCCCGGCTAGCGCCGGCTCCAGGATCGCTGTGGCTCCACATTCTAAATGTAGTAGCCCGCAGCGGCTCTGCTTCCCCTGCCCTTCCCCCCGCACTGGGGAGACGCTGGCTTCCCCCAGCACCAACTCCTGCTTCCTCCCCCTTGCTGCCTCTAATACAGAGGCAGCAAGGGGGAGGAGGAAGTGGGTAATTGAGTAGTGACTCCACTACCCGATAAGCTTAAGCTACTTAAGTAGTCGCTTATATCCGTACCTTACAGTCAGCTTCCTTTGGCCTAAAGTGACAAAAACAATTCAAAAAGTTCTTAAGTTTTCACCTTTTTCCAACTTTTGGAACCTTCTTCCATTTTTTATTCAAAATTTTTTAAAAAAGTGTTCATTTCCTGCCATTCCTCCCCCAGTTCAACATGCCTGGTTCCCCAGGATTTAAGAGGTGTGACTCTTGCAGAGACCGCCATGCCTGCCTCTGATGGTCACTCCTCCTGTGTAAAAAGTCTGAGAGAAGGCTATCTCTCCCAGAAGTGCCCGCACTATTCCAATCTTACAGCGCAGGCAAGACGTGACCAAGCAAACTGGCTGAAGATCTTCCTTTATGAAAGGACTCTTCAACCAACTCAAGAGGACTCTCTCTATTCAGGAAATACCCAATAAAGGGGAAAAAAAAACTTCAGCTTCAGCAAAAAAGTGTCCCTCCTCTTACGCAGACAAGGCAAAAGCAAAGGCCAGGACTTCCCCAGTCAGCTCCTTGCCTCCAGCACCAAACTTTTCTAGAGCTAGCAATGCTGGTAAGCCTGGCACCTCTGGCACTGTGCGCATTACACAAACACTCGCATTCCGAACTGAGGCACAGGTTATCAGCACCGAAATCAACACTGGCACTAATGGCACCAATGTGTGAGACGGCATCGAAGACCACGCCAAAACCAGCACCAGAGATGGTGCTGAAGCCTCTCCGAGCCGACGACACTGATGATGCCCCTGGTACTGATGGCGCTGCCAGTGGCACATACCAGCACGGCACCGCTCAAACGTGCACTGAGGCACCCCTCTGACTGAACGAACTCAGACGGATGTACAGTCAGTGCCACATTCACCAGCATCGTCAGCGCATTCAATCTAGTCCCCTGGACTCCCAGCATCATCCAGAGCGTTTAGTGGGGCAGATACAGGACCATAGAGTAGCTTGTCATCCCAGCACTCCTCCCCAATTCAGAGACCTCTGTCTTGGGGGTCACGCTGCCGTATAGCGACAATAGAGTCAGAAACAGTTTGTATTTACATCTGGTACTTTACAAACTATTACCTTCATAATGTGACCTGATTTTTGTCCTTGCTGGAAAGTTTTCTTAAGTAGACTTTTGTGACTACAGGCAGTCCCCGGGTTACGTACAAGATAGGGACTGTAGGTTTGTTCTTAAGTTGAATTTGTATGTAAGTCGAAACTGGTACATATTGTAGGGGAAACTCTAGCCAAACATTTCTCCAGAGCTCAGTTTTATTCTCCCGCACCTCACTTCCCTCAGTCCTTTATTCTCAAGCTGAGGTGTCTGCTGAGAAAAGCCGCTCCGCGTCTCCCTGGTCTGCTGGGGGGCGCTAGCTTCGCGTCTCCGTGGTCTGCTGGGGGGAAGCAGCTAGTGCGGGGTTGCCTCACCCCGTTTGTAAGTAGGGATCTGATGTAAGTCGGATCCATGTAACCCGGGGACTGCCTGTACTTTCTGTGCTTGGCACTATGGCTGCATTAAGTGACGTAACTTTCATTTAGAAATGGCAGGAGAACATTCTGTTTTCTAACATTTTGGAGCCAGTACTGAGTCGCGACAAATGGTGTTGGGACCAGCGTCATGTAGATTTTGAACTGTACAAGAAGCCACCTGTTTATCTCCCGACATCACCTGCTACGCATCAGGAAGGTAACTGGCTCATTTTCAATAACCACCCCATTTTTTTCCATCTGAGTTCTAACATACACTGATGAGAAGCATTTTCAGTTGCTGTGGTCCTGAAATTATGCCCCTGTCTGTAAAAGTGCATGTGTAACTAATTTCCAGTGTGGTGTAGACTGACTAATTAGTTGGAATTCTGCAGTAAAATTATGGGGCCACTCCTGCAGGGTTCCTGGGCCATAAAACCAGTCCAGTTCTGCTGCCAAGGAATGGGTCAGGGTGCTGAGAGCTTGCCCCAGGTACAGCAATCACTGTGCCTGCGATTTGTGGTGTTGCTGCACCCCAACACACAAGGCATTCGAGGGAGAAACCAAGACAGGGCTTGTGCACTCAGAACTGTGCAGGTCCACCAGCTCTGTGCTGCAGCAACAGCAGTGGAGTGTAGCTGTTGCCAGTCAGGTGGATTAGTTTTGTTGCAGTGCTCCAGCTAAATGCTTGGTTAATTAGCTAAAGAGCTGGCCTAGCACAGTGAGTGCATTGGTGTTAAGTTTATTTGCAGTTAAGTTGTGTCCTTAAAACAGGTAGCTGCTCCTGTTGTAGACCATAAGAAGCCAGTGACTGTGATCTATGTCCAGGCATTAGAAATACTGCCCATTTGAACTGATAATTCTGGAGTAGCGCACCTTGCTCTGGGAGCTAGCGCTGAAGGGCTCTGGAAGGGTATTACCCACTAGTACTGCAGGGGTCTTGTGTATAGGATTCCTGTATAAAATTAGTTAAAAATGCAGCGGCGCACTCCAGTGAGTGTCTAGATTCCAAGCACGTAGTGAGGCAATCGTTAGTCCAAGGTGTTGCTTTAGGCTAATCGGTGCCAGACTGTAGCTGCTACTTTCATTGCATATTGTGGAATTATGTTAGTCCCTCCCATGCCCAGTTCTTGGTCTTAGTCCTTGAACTTGAGGGCCTATCTTTGGACAAACACGTACTTTTTCCTTCTATACAACTGGTTCTAATGGGTGGCTGATTTTTTTAAGTGAATGGTGACAATCATTTTTGTTACTCATGCAAAGGTCAGACAGCCTCTCAAACCAAAACTAATGCTGGAAAATCCAGTTAAATCTTTTGTCTCCAACATCAGGCTACAACATGCCTCACTGCACATGCTGCTTCCTTCACTAGTTAACTAGAAACAGAGAAGGTTGGAGCCTTAAATTTGTAATTGGCCAAATTCAGTCCATAGTTTTGTCCCAGGTGTGTCATGAACATCAATTATGTAAATACCCATCAAGCAGAAAGATTTCTTAACATTTGATTTTGACAGACTGCTCTGAAATATGGCATTACACACGGATGACTGTTTCTGTAGCTTTCACTTACACCATTAGGCTTCTAATCTGAACTAGCTGTATGCCTCGAGGCGTACAGCTAGTTTGGATTAGAAGTCTAATCCGAACTAGCTAGTCCGTGCCGCGTGTAGCCGCGGGGCACGGGGTCCGAACTAGCCGACATTTAAAAATGGCGCCGGCCGGCATCATGCAAATGAAGCCCGGGAAATTCAAATCCCGGGCTTCATTTGCAACTGCGAATGACTACATTACCCCCGCTAGTTCGAACTAGCAGGGTAGTGTAGACATACCCTATCTGTGTTCTGCATGAATTTTTAATCCAGGAGTGTGCATTAGCCATTACTCTCCGTCCAGTTATGGTTTGGTACAGCTGAAACTTTGGGAGGAAAATTGTTTAAATGCCTTTGCATACCTTTCTCTTCAGACTATCAGTCCTGCCTTGCTTAAAACACATGGCTCCTGTCATTTTATTTTTCTTTTCAGTGGCCATTTGGCAGGGTGATGAGACCAATCAGCCTCAGAAAACTGTATTTGTTGACACCCAGCTGAAAGTTCACAGGTGCTCCACAGCAGCCGAGCTAACCACACGTGGCCTAAAAGCCAGTGCTCAGCTGGACAAACTACAAGGACTTTTGAAAGATAAACCACAGAAATTCTCACTTACGAGACCAGGCCTGATTCTGCAGGTAATGTACATTTCTCTGGGATGGTAAGCGTTAGTGTTCTCCTGGGAGCAGCACTTCTGAGTGCCTTGCGGACATTTTAAAACAATTTCCATACTTAGCTTATCAAGATATTTTCTTGACATAGACATTTCAATAGTCATTGCTAGTGTTGAGGCACAGAGGAGTGCTTAGCTCAGCCTTACCAAATAATTTACCAGCCCAAGACACAGCGCAGACATGCTCATTCTTAGCTACTTTGGCTGAAGATAATTTAAAATGTTGTTAAATGTAGCCTCCCTGGGGAGGTGGTGACGAGGATTTTGGCAAGCTGGCTCAACAGTAGTAAGGCTACGTCTACACTGCAGAGCTATTTCGGGATACTTCCAGTATCCCAAAATAGCTAGTCTGGGTCTTTTGAGCGCACCTGTTCTTTCAAAATATAACAGGCTCGCTATTCTGATGGCCCTGTAAACCTCATTCCACAAGGAGCAAGGGACATTTCAGAATAGCGCTCTATTTTGAAATTTAGTCTGGTGTAGACAGCGCCAAATTTCAAAATAAGCTAATTGTGTAGCTCAAACTGCCTTACTTATTTTGAGCTACAGGTGCAGTGTAGATGCAGTAGTATTCTGTAGTATTCTCCAATGAAAGCCAGGCAGGGCCCAAACCATTTCTATTCACTAAATACCAACTCTTCTTTTGTATCTTCTCCTGAGATCCATTATGCAGTATAGGCTCTCTTAGCCCTGCAGTCTGAGCTAACATGGAAGAAACCACACAGACACTCTCAAACCTCTAAGGTTCAGGAATTTGAGCTCATTGAAATGAAAAACTATATTGGTGGCCTGCACCAAACTAATCTCTTGTTGGATGAATCAGTTACTAATGCATAGAAATGACTGACCCAAACAATGAGTAAACTATAAAACTCAAAAGGGCATTTCCTTTTGGCTAGAAATACTTTAGAGAAAAAAACCCCAAACCACGGAAAACTTCAAGGTTGTTTATTACAGAGCAAAGCTTAAAGCAAAGTTTGGAGAGCAGTTAGATCTCCAAAATCCCTTCTGGGATGGCCTTCCGTTTTGTTGCACAGCATTCATGTTGCATGAACAGCAGCTTGCCCGTCCCGAATGCACAATGGGCTCTTTGCTCATCCTATCAGGCCGGAATGACTTACAGCTTTTCCCCACACACTTCAGTAGCTGCTTACAGCTTAGTTCAAACCGTGCTTGTGTGCCTCTAGACTTGCAAAAGTACCTAGGAGAACAGGGGTGTTTTCTTTGCTTTTTACTGACGTCATTCTTACCTAGATCCCCTGCTCCTGCTTTTCTGGGCTCAAATGTTGGCTCCAGGATTTTGCCCTGTTGAGCAAAGATAGTTTGACAGGCAGGGGTGGACTGGCAATCAAAATAGGCACAGGAAATGGGTTGAGCACCGCCCACTTTTTCACATCAAAGAATTTTTTTTAGATTTACTCTTTGACCCCCATTAGCCACACTCCTGATCCCTGTTAGCCACGCCCCTTATCCCATTAGCCACACCCCCTGACTCTCATTAGCCAGGCCTCTGGAGGTAAGACTCTTGGGGCAAGATGGATACATGACCAGAAGTAAAAGGTGTCATGTGACCCTCCTAAGGGCTTTTCCCCCCATCCTCCTACCAATAGGGATTAGTTTGGCCCCCACCAACCCCCTCTCATGCAACTATCCTGCAATTGCATTAATCCAATGTGTGTGACAGTAACTCGGGGGCAGAGAGGCTGGGGGCAGTGTTCCCTCTAAGAGTTTCCTCCCATGAGCAGAATGAATTTTGTGTTGTGCACCAGTACTGAGTTCATGGGGCTTGTTTGGCACCCAAGTTATTAATAAATATCTCATAAACCTCGACCTTTTCCCTCTGCTGCCATATCTCCTCCCCTTGCTCCATCAGCTCCCCTGGTTCCTGCTGCCCCCCAACCCCTCACCCTCCTCTGCTGTCCTGACTCCTGCCCTTGTAACTGCCCTCAGAGACCTGAACCCCTCCCACCAGCCCTTCTCTCCCCCCTGTGCCCACTCCTCCAGTAGCCCCACTCTGATCATGTGAGCTACCCCTCCTCACCCCCTCTAACACCTCCCTCTGCACATCTGCCCTGCCTCTCTCCTCTGGTGCTGGTCCCTCCCCTGCAGGTGTCTGCCCTTCTGCTTCACCCTCGGAATCCCCTGGCACCTGCACCCTCCCTTACCCCTGCACCCTCCTAGTGCCTCTCCCTTCCCTCACTGCCCCTGCCCCCTTTGCCCTCTTTTTCCCTGATGCCCATCCCCTCACTACTCTCTGCCCCAGTTCCCCTCACGCTCCTGTGCCCTCACACATGCCTTGCTCCAACCCCACCTTCCTCATGCCCACCCCTTCTGTCAAGCCTTCTTTCAGAACCTTCCCCTCCCCCTCTAGACCCTAATGCCCTTCCCTTCCCCTCTCCTCTCCCAGCATCGCCCTGTCCCCCCTCCCACTGACACCTTCCCTCCTTCCCTTTTCCTCATTGGTTCCACTTGGCCCCCTGGCATTTCTCTCTCCTCCACCCTGTCCCTTGGTGCCGTCCCCTTTCTTCTCCTGCCCTGCCCCCTCCCCTCAGCACAAGCCCCTTCCTCTCCCACCTCTTCTTCCTATTTTTCCCCTCCTCCCCACCTACCTTCTGCCTTCTAGTTTGCGGGGCTGGAGTGTGTGATCGGCCCCCAGCTGCTTCTGGGGCTCCAGGCCATATGCCAGGCCTCGAGCTGGGCCGCGCGGTGCAACTCTGGGCCGAGTGCTTTTAAAGTCCTGGGCTGTGACATCACGCCACGCCTGGGTGTCTCCCCTCGCACCTGTTGCGTGGCGTTTGAGCATGCCATGCATGCGCTCCCTTGGCCCCCACAGCGTCCCGTGCATGGCAGGTGCGGCGCCGGGGAATTTAAAGTGCGGGGCTGTGGCACCCCCATTACAATCCCCCTCCTGCTCCAGCAGCCTCCAGCCAGCCCTTTGGAGGACAGCCCACCGGGAAATTCCCGGTGTCCTGCCGTGCCAGTCCGCCCCTGCTGACAGGGCGATCAAGACTGACTTACTAGCATGCGGCCATGCTATTAAACGCCAATGTGCATTTGTACCGTAAGTAATGGATACATAAAAAGTACTGCATAGGCTGAAACTGATTTCTGCTTCATGATGTTGTACGTTCCTAGCCTATCCCAGCACTGTCAGTGTTGCAGCAGCTACCTGACAATGGCATTTACCAAGGGCTGGACAGAGAGCGGAGCACCACCAAAGGATTTGTTCCAGGTGTGGAAGGCCAGCACAGCTTGAAGTGGAACGGGAACATAATCCCCTGCCACGACATGGACCACAGAACGTTTGAAACGTTGAGAGGCGCCGACTTCAAGTAAGGCCTGCAGCGTGGTCACAGGGGCCAGGAAATGACATAATACAATGCGTTCCTCCATAGGACAGACCACTGCACAGGCATGTGGGGGTGCCACACAGTCATTTTTACAGTGCAGTGTGATGGGGTGCTGAGCAGAATCAGTCCCCTGCCATCACCAGCCCCATTTAGATCAATAGAGTTGACTGAAAAGATCCTGCCCCCCCCATCCTGTTTCCATCTGGCACTGACTGCGCTGCAGCAGCAATGGCTGGTCCGTGCGAGCAGGTGCCAGGCGGCAGCCGGTGACTTGTTCCCTCTGTTGACCCCCCCCATTGTCCCTTTGCATCCTCCCTCCCCTTGCTGCCCCCGCCCTGCTCTGCCCCTTCATGCCCCGCAGCCCCCCCTGCTCCTCCATTGCCCCCCTAGAGGCCCTTTTCCCCATCCCCGGTTTAGAGTGGGGGGACGGGGAAAGGAAGCAGAGAATTGGGAGGGCCTGGAGACTCACCTGAGTGACTCCTAGCTAGCAGCCCAGCTTGGCAGCAGGCAGAAGCCTGCCTGTTCCCCCACCCCCCAAGCTGCAGGACCATGTACTCTATAAATAAGAGCCTGAGGGGAAGGAGGAGTGATGCCATCTGTTTTTTCAACAGGCAGTTCCCATTGGCCAGGATTATGCTGGGGGCAGGTTCAGCCATGAAGCAGCCAGGAAGCAATAGTAGTTGCAAAGGTGTTTGGTCCTGAATAAGCGTTAGAGGATTCGTCCATTAGTATGATCTGACTGGAAAATTAATGGCATTTATTATGCTTTTAATTGGCTGTATCTACATTTATGCCAAATATTCATTAGCGCCTAAAACTTATTCTCTGGGGACCCATAAAACCTTTGGAGGGGAAAGACTTCACTGTGTAGTGTAGTTAAGGACTTAAATGAGTGGGTCTATTAACTGATTTACTGCAATGTACAAGTTCCCAGGGCATATCATAGGAATGGAATCATGCACATTTACAGAAAATTACATCCTGTGGCACATAAAATCCAGCCTTTGTGAAGAGAGATTTATAATTAGCTTTTTTTTTTTTCATTCCAGCTTGCTTTGTTATAACCATTCCTTTCGTTACAAGAGAAAGAGACCAGAGAACAAAGGGGAAGATATAAGCCTTCTGCTACAGCAAGGATCCTTCACTGATGGTGCTACATCTCCACGAGCTAGTCAGGTAATTTGATAGCAAAATTACTCTTGATGCTTAAATTAGAGCCACAAATTCTGTCTTGAAGACACACAAGCCTTAGTTCCGATTGAGCTAATGGGCCACAGCTGTAATACGACAGGACGAAGGGCTAGTTATCTGTAGCCAGGTGACTGTCTCCTCCTCAGATGCAGACATAGCCCATCTGATGGTTTTGGTGCACATGAGCCTTTTAGATATTAATGCCCAGCTGGAGCAAGAGTAAATCAATCCTTCCTTAGTGCTTGATGAAAAAAAGGAGGTGCTGACCCTGGCAATAGATTCCCCAGCAATTTTCCTTTAGCCACAGCTAGAACGTGGTGTTCAGGCAGAGAGAAAGCTAAACTGGAAGTCGCTGAAATCAATAAGGCAAAGGGTGCTGATTTTTTCCTCCCCTTTAAAGTTCTGAGCAGTATACAGGGCTCTACCGCAGAGAAGTCATTTACCATTTGATATATTCTGAAATAGTTTTTCGAAATAGAGCGCCCACACTACAGGGAAGCCTCAAAGGTAGTCCGAGGCAGGCTCCCCTAATATGGACGCACTGTCTCGATTTAGAGCCCCAGGTATCACTGGGGAGAAATTACTTAGAATGGCCCTGGTAAGGAGTGATTTCGAAATAGCCGCAATGGAGCATCCACACTGTATCTATTCTGAAATCGCTATTTCAGAAGAGGAGTTATTCCTTGTGGAATGAGGTTTACAGAAGTCGGAATAAGCCTCCTATTATTTCAATATTTTGAAATAACAGAATTACTGTGTAGACGCTCACATTGTTATTTCAGAATAATACTATAATTATTCCAAAACAATGGTGCAGTGTAGACGCATTCATAAAGTCATGGGGTAGGTTTCAGGAGAATGCTGATGTGACCGGGGGAGGGGGAAGGGTGTTGTGCCCTGAAGTATCCCTCCATGCCCCACAGAATTAAGCATTATACACCCATCATTTGAACACAAGCCTTGTGGCTAAAGGGGTTAATACAGTGAAACCTGTGTTATCCAGCACTCTGTAAACCAGAAAACTGTTAACCAGCACTGCCCCTAGCCACAATACTGTCACATCTTCAGATGCACAGGCCTGGCTTTGTTTACCATCATTGGCTTAACAATTTATTTAAGAAGTACTAATCATCTTTAACTCAAAATAGAAATGTGAAATTAAACAGATCAGTACAGTGAAATCTGTGTTCTCATCCACTGACGGACAGTAGGTGAAAAACACACGCAGTACTGAAAAAACACTTTTTTATAAACACAAGAATGTGCCAATTACCAGAAAGCCCAACCACTGTTTGAGAAGTTCATTATTATTAAATATTATGCAACTCTGGTTTGTAGGACAGTGGGCTGGAAAGTGACATGTTCATTCTTGTCAATACTTCCTGGAGCCAAGGATAAGAAAATAGTGGCAACGAAGTGTTGGGCCAATGAAAGGCCTGGCTGTATTAGCTGAACGAGCATGAATAATCCAAGAAAGAAAACACTTTTTATAACCCAAACTTTCCACAAGCGGTTATTGAGGAAGAAAACAGCAATCACTTTAGTGGTTTCCTTTTAGTCTCTCCCCATAAAATTGTTTTATTTTACAAGATTACAATTACATTTTCAGCTGGTGAAAAATATTTGTACAAAAAGTAAATTTTATTCATTTACCCATTAGTTAATCTGCAAGTCGGGTAATGGGCTAGCTTTTAAATGCTATTAGAATGTCCTATCAAGTGGATGAGAACAGATATAGGCTCTCTTTTCCAGCACCTGCTGTGCAACCTTTTTAATACTGTCATCCAGGTTTTCAGCAGCATCTAGAGTGGGGGAAAAAGCAAAATTCAAGTCACATCCTGCTTTCTTAAAAGCACAATAGTTAAATCCAGAACACTGCAGTGCATCCATTTGCAAAAAGGCTGAGGAAGGGGTGGACATTTTTTGTAGGGGGGACACTTCGCCAATGTTGGTAGTGGCCACAGGCCAGCACCCAATGGTCCAGGCATTGGGCGGAAGTGGTGATTCCCTCCAAGCACCATATGCCAGTGGGAGGGGGACTTCACGCAATCCCCTGTGGGGCAGGGGAGCACAGGAGATCTCTTTCCCCCCCATTTGAGGCACATGGCACCAGAGGGAACTGACAGCAATTTGAATAGCTGGTAATTCTCACTGACACCACCATCGCCCCGGGAGGGATGCGGGGGGTGGGGGGTAGGGGAGGGGAGAAGGGAAGACCTTGCACACTCCCTGCCTCCAGGTCCTGACTGGCCCTGGGGCAGGGGAGCACACAAAGTCTCTCACCCCCCACCCTGCTGGGGCATGTGACATCGAAAGGAACTGCCTGCTGTTTTGAACAGCTGTTGGTTCCATGCCCCCGAGTCTCAACTGACCTGGGGGCCGGGAGAGCAGCAGGGCAGACAAGATCAAATGGCTTGGCAGGTGGGATTCTGCCCATGGGCCATATCTTGCCCACCCCAGTCTGAAGAGTCCAAACATCTGTTGTACCAGCATAGGAGAAAGTCTAACACGGCAGCTTTGACTAACATTTTAAGACTTACGCGTCGCTGAATTGTATTTATCATGTGGTAGAGCAGAACAGTCTGTTCCAAAATGTCCCTCCTGTACCACTTACGTAAGCACTAGTCTATATTACCAGCTGGTTCAATAGCTTTTTCCTTCCTACTGACTGCTGTGAATGTTACACAAAGTAGCTGATCCCAAGGGAGGAAAATGAGTGCTTTCTTTAAATCCTGTCTCTGAGAAGTACTTGGTATTTATATTAGTATTAACAATAACGATGAGAGGTGGCATCAGCTACTTCTGTATAAATATTGTTGTCCCTCTGCCAAACGGTAGGCGTCCGCACCCAAACAGTCAGCTTTGTAGTGGAGAGTGGGTACATTAGGGCACTATGTAACCCCAGTCTGAGGGAATTGCTGGTATGCGGTTTATGACCACCATCAATGCCCTGTTCCCCCAGAGGAATGGACATCCACTATTGGAGGCAACCCCCCATTAAAAACCCTATATCATAAAAGTAAAGCATTTCTTTGAGCAGTACTGGCCCATTAAGAACTTCTGAAACTACAACAGGGCCATCTGGTGATACCCATCCTAATCCTTAGTAAAGAAGCATGTCATGTGCATTCCACATATTTTATAAGTCACGTTAGGCCCTTGGATATCGTTTGTTCCTATCACATTAAGTTTATTCTTCCCACTATGAAAGAACTTACATTTTTCTAACTCCGCCATGGCATAATTATTCTTAAAATATGCTTCTGTGCAGAAAATATTTGTAAGCAGCACCTGATAAAACAAAAGAAAGGTATTGAACAAATTAAATATTGTAATACAAACAAGGCTTTTCAAGAAGAAAATACACTACAACTCATGCTAAATAATTAAATACATAACAGCTAATGAAAAGTTTCAGATCAGATATTGAAGAGGATAATTTTTCTTTTCCTCATGGTTTAGAGCCTGGTTTACTACAGTACAAGTGAGAAGAATTCTAATTTTTTTCCATTTTTTCCATAGCTACAGCTTCCAGTAAATGGAATGACCCCATCATTCACAAGTGACTAAAAGACAGATACTCAGTTACAAATCCAGATGTGACTAATAAACTTGGTAGTGAGATTTTTTTTCTAAAGACTGAAGTTTTAATTATTTTATATC